TTCACACTGTCAACAATTTGAAATTAGACAATGTGTATTAGAGTGCGAACTTAGGAATATAGGGGATTGATATTGAGAATAAAAAATTACGCTCCTGCTCAGCTATATTTTCTTTAAATAGTTAAGTTCGGTTGGAAGACCAATTCCTAAATTAGTTAAGGACCTTAATAAGGAACTGTAGGTGAGGATAGAATATACTTTAACATGATTCTTTTGGTCCTTGAAACTTTTTTTGAATAATCCAAATTTCTGTTAGACTTTGAAAAATGAAAAATCAAAATCTTTATATAATCCACACTTTTTTGGTCCTTGAAAAATTATTCTTTACAAAATGCATGTTTCTGTGGGTCCTTGCAAATTTTTTTTTGTTTGATCCTTCAAAATTATTCCTGTAAACATTGACTAGTCTGTTGATCATTAAGGTTGCGCTTTCAAAAATTCACGTTTACTTTGGTCATTCAAAATGTATCCATTAAAAAATTAGAAAAATCTCCTTTAGGAAATCCACGCTTCCTTTGGTCCTTGAAAAATTAGAAAAATCTAATTTAGGAATTCCACGAAATTGGTCTCAAGGACCAAAGGAAACGTGAATTTCCTTGTTAATAATTTTTCAAGGACCAACGGAAGTTTGGATTTCTTAAGGAATAATTTCTCAAGGACCAAAGAAATTAGAAATTATTCTTTAAAAAATCCAAACTTCCGTTGGTCCTTGAAAAATTATTAATAAGGAAATTCATGTTTCCTTTGGTCCTTGAAAAATGTTTCCTTAAGAAATCCACGCGTTCTTTGGTTCTTGAATAATTATTCATTAAAATCCACGCGTTCTTTGGTTCTTGAATAATTATTCATTAAAAATCCACGCTTCCTTTTGTCTTTGAAGAATTTTTCTTTAGGAAATCCAGGGTTCTTTTGGTCCTTGAAAAATTATTCTTTAGGCCCTTGAAAAATTATCCACGCTTCGTTTGGTCTTTGAAAAATTATTCTTTAGGCCCTTGAAAAATTATCCACGCTTCATTTGGTCTTTGAAAAATTATTCTTTAAGAAATCCACGCTTCCATTGGTCCTTGAAAAATTATTCTTTAAGAAATCCACGCTTCCATTAATCCTTGAAAATTTATTCTTTAAGAAATCCGCGCTTCCTTTGGTCCTTGACAAATTATTTTTTAAGACAAATTATTCTTGACAAATTATTTTAAAATAGTCCACGATCCTTTTGTCCTTGACAAATTATTTTAAAATAATCCACGCTTTTTTGGTCTTTGAAAAAATATTCTTTAAATAATTCCCGCTTCTCTTGGTCCTTGGAGAATTATTCTTAACACAATCCACGCTTCTTTTGGTCCTTCAAAAAAATTCTTTGAATAATTCACACTTCTGCTGGTTCTTAAATTATCCTTAAAGTAATACTTGAAAAATAAGCCTTAAAAAACACGCTTCTGTAAGCTCTAGACATTTTTTCATAAAATAATCCACGCTTCTAGAAGCCCTAGAAATGTTTTTCTTAAAATAATTCACGCCTATGTTGGTCCTATAAAAATATTTCTTAAACTAATCGACGCTTATGTTGGTCGTTGGAAAATTCATCCGTAAATAATTAACGATTTTTTTGGTCTTTGAAAAATTATTCCTTATAAAATCCTCCGTGTGTTTTTTCGAATCGATATATAGGCCACAATTGAAAGCCGAGCATCGCAACACAACCCACGGTGAAGGAAATCTGGATAAGTAATTAGAAGGGCTGTACTGAATATTAATAATATTTGTTGGCCTCTAGTCGGTCAAAAAGGTGCAAATATCGCACCTTATAATGTAGAACAACAGAAAGTCAGATTTTCGTTGAAGTTGTATAGGGTATCATATGGTCGGACCCGTACTGCTCCGCTCACTGGTTTTAATTATTCATTAATTCATATGTTTGGAGGACCCTAATGTACCAACACCTCACACACACACATACAATCTTCACCCTCTTGAAACGGTATACATTTCATAAATAGCTGTTGGATTATTATATCTTTTTTTGCTTCTTTGTAAGTTGTCGTTGTTGTTTTTTGCTTTTAAAGTAAAAGAATGCTAAGACAACATACTTTTAGGCTGTAAACAATGACAACAAGTATGTTCAACTATGTATGATGTTTTGTTGTGATGTCTTTGTTTCCTGTCATGTTTTATGTTTTAATATGACGTAAATATTTTATTCAGCAGTGGATATTAAAATGTCATCTGATTAATCCAACTGTTATACAAAGAAATTCCGAAAAAAGACTTACACAATACCATGGCTTTAAATAGGCAGTATTAGATAAAAAATATATAAAACAGTTTTATTGCCGTTGTGAGTTATTTTAAATATATTTATAGCACATTTAAATTTTATTATTTTGCAACCGAGTCGGTCGTAAAATTAATAAAACAATTTTTTTGTTACAAATGAGATAAAATGGAGCATAAAAAGGATTTAATAACGGAAACTCTTTCTGGGAAAAGAGTGTGAAAATATTTAATTAAAAAAAAAATATATATATATATATATATTTAAAACAATATTTACTATATTTTCTCAAAAAAATTCTCAGATATGAGACAATCATAAAATATATATTTATTTATGTTTTAAATTTAAAACTTATGAATATAAATAAAAAATATATATATTTTCGAACACAATTTCCTTTCAATAGTTTGCAAAATATTTACACTTAAATAATTTATTCCATATTGTATTCATTTCAAATATACATAAATAGTTATATCTTCCAACTCATGTGATTACATTCTTATGTTGTCCTTACCAATATTTGTTCAAACAAAAAAAGAAGCTTGCCTATGCATTGGCATTCATAACAACTAGATTTGAAATAATCTGCACTACAAATAACGAATCTTGAAATGGAAAAAAATAACAATATTCTCTAACTGAGTATTGAATTTCTTTCTATTTATAGTTCTGCAAACATTGGACTTTATATACTTCTTTCCAAAAAAACAACAAAAAGAAGTCATAAAGAAAAAAAAGCTACAATTTAATATTTCTGAAGTGCTTAGCAGACAGACACAGTTATCATGTCTATGATATCCTTGAAAGAATATATCATTGTTTTGTTTGGGTTTTTTTATTTGTTTTTTCTTTTGCCACTCAAAGCTGAAAAAAATAATAACAAATAAAAGAAGAAACATGTCTGCAGATATTTTTAAAATCACGGTTCAACACAATAAAAGGTGTTAATAAAAAAGTCAATAAAATATAATAAAATCTTTCTAAAAAAAATATGACGGTAAAAATATGATGGTCCTTGAAAACTCCGATCTTCTAATGGTCCTTGAAGAATTATACTTTAAAAATCCAAATTTCTGATGGCCCTTGAAAAAACATTCTTTAAAAAGACCATGCATCTGCTAGACCTTGAAAAATGTTTCTTTAAAAAATCCACGCCGATATTAGTCCCTAAAAAACTATTCGTTAAAAAAATCCACGCTGATGTTAGTCCTTAAAAATATTCTTTAAAAATGAACTCTGATCTTAGTCCTTGAAAAACTATTCTTTAAAAAAATCCGCGGTGATGTTAGCCCTTGAAAAGTTACTCTGTAAAAAGTCCAAGTTTCTGTTAGTTTCTGAAAAATATTCTTTAAAATCCATACCTTTGATGGTTCTTCAAAAGTCTACGCTTATGTTTGTCCTTGAAAAACCAATCTTTAACAAATCCACGCTACTATCAGTCCTTAAAAATATATTCTAAAAAATTTACTTTTAGTGGGATCTTGAAAACTTATTCTTTATCCAACGAATCCAACGAAAATACAAATGGTAGCTATATCTAAATCTGAACCGATTTAAACAAAATTATGTGTCAATCGTACAAACTTTGGGTCTTTAGTGCACACTTTACCTAAAATCAAAGGAAAATATAAATGGGACCTATATCTAAATATGAACCGATGTTCACGAAATCTTGACACAGTTCAGTTAAAATTTGACGAAAATATATATGGAAACTATATCGAAATCAGAACCGATTTTCACGAAGCTTTGCAGATATCATTCTAGACTCAATTCAGATCGCTATGCCAAATTTCACGCAAATTACCAACATTTACATTAAATCGGACGAAAATATATATGGGAACTATATCTAAATCTGCAACGATTTTCAGGAAACGTACATATCATTTTTTGACTTAATTCAGTACGCTGTGCCAAATTTCGTGCAAATCGAAAGATACTTAGGGACTTTGGTGCACCATATAAAATCGAACGAATATATATATATATATATAAATCTGAACCGATTTTCACGAAACTCTGCACACATCATTCTACACTCATTCAGTTCCCTATGAAAAATTTCGTGTAAATTCTAGACTTAATGTAATACGCGGATTTGGTGCATCATTTACATTATATAGGACTAAAATATATATGGGAGCTATATCTAAATCTGAACCGATTTTTCCAATTTCAATAGGATTCGTCCTTGGGCCAAATAAGTGATCTATGCCAAATTTCATCCAAATCGGATCATAAATGCCTGTACTTTGTTCACAAAAATACATGGACGGACGGACATGCGTAAATCGGCTCAGAAAGTGATTCTATGCATATTCTAAAAACGAACCATGGGTCTATCTCGATTCCTTTTGTCTGTTACAAACATATGCACAAAGACATAATACCCTGTACCACAGTGTTGTGAGGGGTATAAAAATATAAAAACCCGTACTTTTGTGACGTTATATTTATGTAAATACATTGGTTAACACCATAGTGATTTTTTTCGACAAACAATTTCTTGTCACATTGCCATGTCTCAAAAAACACACCCATTATACAAATAACTCCTTACATCATTTTTCTGACTTACCAATAAACAGATATCTTAAGGCAATGAGGCTTCTGTGTTTTCCAAAACGACGAATGCAAACAGAAAATATTTCTAAACTCAATACATTGCAATGAATTACATTTCTAACCATATATCTTGTTATCGTTTCTACTCTTGCAGGTATCTTCCGAGGAAACACAATACATTAGAACAGTTGACAATTTAATTGCGTCGAGACTGAGTCTAAAAGTGCAATTGCAGTCGGTACACTTTGCAGCTGCTGCAGCCTCTGGCTCTAATGCTGGCAGCAGCAGCGGCAGTAATTCACACATGATAAATGCTTTGGGTCCTGGCGGAACAACGTATGTCGGTAGCTCTGGTACCGGCGCCACAGGGGGTGCATTGCTGCTGCGTTGTACAGCACAAATTGGTGATTTGTATCAGGAATATAAAGAAATTGAATTAGGAACACCACAAAAGGATCCAATACCAGCCAGAGGTAAGTAATGTATGTTTAGCAAGTAGCAGTCGAAGTAGATCGGAATTGTGTGTGTGTGTGTTCAAGTGCTTGAGTAACAGTATTTATGTACCAGAAACTATGCCGTAGAGAAGTTTATAACACTAACAACAATACATGTTACATAGCAAGCTATTTTTTTCCCATGTAGGTATGTGTAAAAGTAGATATCTATGTTTTCTGTCGGCATTTTCTTCAACCTACAACTGGGAATTGTGTAACACTTTTGCTATTACCTTCCCCACCTGGTTGTTGAAGTTGGTGTATTTTTATTACCAATTCCTAATGTCTCAACACGATTTAGTGTAGCTGTACGTTACTGTTGTTATTACTTTTGTCGTAGATGTTTTCTTCCAAAAGGCTTTAGATCACATTTATTACCATGAAAATATGTGTATTTAATTGTTCGAAATGATATATAGAAGTGTGTAGATGTTCTAGAAATTAACAGAGTACAGCTTTTGAATGGATTCCTATAACATTTAAGGTACTAACGAAACGAGACAGCAATCGACAGTGTGGGTCTTCGAAGATGAGCCAAATCCTACTGTATATGACTGTCATTCGTGGAATTACATAGAAGTTTGTAGACCCACATACCAACCGAATAGGCTGAAATTTAACATTTTGGGTTCTTAGAGGGTGATACACATATTTGCATACAATTTATAATATCAATTTTCGCTCATTGTCACATATTGAACTTTGGGATATCGTTATCTATGCAAAACTTTCTCTACAAAAGTTTAAGTTTAAAATAGCCCCCAAATAAGGGCTCCAACTTTTTTTGTATTTTCAGTCGAATTTTCCAACCGTAGTAGCAAAATATTTTCGAAATAATGGAAATAGGTTCAGGTTTATCATATTTATCGTTTGTCCTATTGACACGAAAGTTTGCATAGTGAAGAGAAGAGAATTTAGTTCAGTTTTCTGTAATCAATACCACATTGGAAAATAAAACAATTGCATGCTCATTATACCCTTCACCACACTGTGGTACAGGGTATTATGTATTTGTGCATATGTTTGCAACATGCAAAAGGAAACGAGATAGACACATTCCTTTTGAGAATATGCATAGAACCACTGTCTATCCATGTTAAATTGTAAACAGACAACAGGTCGCATTTATGATCCAAATTGGATGAAATTTGTCATAGGTCACTTATTCGGTCCAAGGACGAACCCTATTGAAATTGGGAAAAATCGGTTCAGATTTAGATATAGCTCCCATATATATATATATATATATATATATATTTGTCCGATTTAATGTAAACGGTCCCGATATATATTTCGATTTGCACGAAATTGTGCATGGGGTAATGATTTAGGACCATAATGATGTGTGTCAAGTTTCTTGAAAATAGTTTCAGATTTGGATATAGCTCCCATATATATTTCCGTCTGATTTAAGGTAAATTGTGCATCAAAGTCCTTAAATATCTTTCGATTTGCACGAAATTTGGCACAGCGTAATGAGATAGGTCTAGAATGTTGTGTGTTAAGTTACGTGAAAATTGGTTCAGATTTAGATATAGCTCCCATATATATTTCCGTCCGATTTAATGTAAATGGTGCACTAAAGTCCCTATATATCCCAACGTTAGGCAGATTGACATAACATCTTGCACAACATACTGAAGTTAATATAACTCAGCATGTGTTAAGTTTTGTTGAAATCGGTTCAAATTTGGATAGAGCTTCCACATATATTTTCTCCCGATTTTAAGTAAATGATGCACCAAGAACTCGAAATATGCACAAAACATACTGAAATTTGTATAACATAACCTGTGACAAGTTTCGATTAAATCGGTTTATATTTCGATATAGCTTTTGTATATATTTTCGTCCGATTTTAAATAAACGGTACGCCAAACTTCTGATGTGTATCATATAATTATCCAAATAATCAACGGGTGTCCGATTTATACTTGCTTTAAATTAATGTACAATGTTAGGATACATCTGTTGAATATACCCAAAGTGCTGAAGGGTATCATATAGGGGGCCCCGTCTGACTTTACTACTTTCCTTACTGGTTTTAATATGTCTTTCATAAAAACATGTCCGAATGCTGTATCAAGAATCTATATACCTCCTACATATTGTTATTTATGTATTTGTTTACTGAAACAACAATATTTGCTTTATGTTGATATGCACATAACATAACATATACATATATACATTGACACGAACACTTATCACTTCGATGGAATCTTCAAATGAACATGTACTTCTATTGCATATGTGGGTGATACATAAATTGTGAAATTTTATTGGGATGTAGCTAAGCCTAAACATTTAATCCTTTAAGTAATTTATTGAATAACATTTAATACACGATAAAGTGTGAGTGAATATTAAAGCAATTAAGAAAGTAAAATACATAAAACCGATCGGGACTTGTATATGGATATGTTGATACCACAAAAACATGAAATACCAAGCTACAGACACTTATGTTGGAAAATTGGACGACCATTGTGAAAATTAAGGACGACATTTGTATTGGAAATATGTAAAACGGGTACTTATATATGGGACCCTGATATTAATAAGGAAGATTTACCATCCATTTATATAAGTAGAGCCAATTCGGTTGAAAAACGAGGCCAAACTCATTAAAATAGCGAAACATAAGGTGCACCGTTATATGGGGCCAATATTGATAATTTAAATTGATAATGTTTGGTATACAGAATATTTAATGTGCCCTTTATTATTTAAAATGTAATGTAAATAATTTTAAAATGAAATTATTCATTTGAGTTCATCGTTCTCATTTTGCTAGAAAAGTCGAATATTATTGTATACCAAAAAACGAAAGAATTTCTTTAATACAGTTCTTGGAATTGTATATTTATATTTATTTAATTGTAAAACTGCTATTCATGGCTAGTCACTGTTTTTTTCTGCTCGACCCCTTAATGCGCCATGGAAAATTCCTTTAATACTCTTTGCAGTGTATATAGCTTTTGGGGTTGGCATAACAACAAAAACTGTTGCTCTCTGTGACTTGGTTATTATTTGATGTAAAAAATAGACCAAAGGCTGTTTTTTGGGCAATAATAAAAAGTGGCATTTTCCGGTCAGCGGCTCCGCTGAGCCTTTGTTACGTTTGTCATTCGTTTTACTCCTCCTATCGACTATTTTGTTTGTCTTTTATAATTTGTTTTTTTTTTTTTTGTTCTGTAAGGGCTTAAGGTTTCATTTTACAGACAATTCGCTTTGTTTGTCATCAGTGTAAGCACCCCTAGTGGTCAGGCCATGTGATGTTCTATTGTTCAACTGGACCATAGTCTGTGGTATTTCATCTTTCACTTTTCGTAGTTTTTTTTTTTTTTTTGGATCACTTATGGAATTTTTATACCCTACACAACTATGTTGTCAGGGTATTATAGCTTTGTGCAGCCCCAAATGTTTGTAACGCCGCGAAATATTGGTCCTAGACCCACCTTTAAGTATACCGATCGTCATATCTCGACTAGCTGAGTCGATCTAGACATGTGTGTCCGTCCGTCCGTCCGTCTGTCCATTATAATTTGTAAACACGATACAGGCCACAGTTATGGACCAATCTTCACAAAATTTTGCATGTAGGATGGGTTCTGGCCAATGAAGACCCCTATTGTTTTTGGAAAAGATCAGTTAATATTTAGGGGATGAAATGGACCAAATACTAAATTTTTGTCGTTTTTTCTGGTCGCTCCAGAGGCCGCAATTATGGCCCAAACACCGCGAATTTTTGCATGGAGAAGGGGATCGGGCCAGAGAATAAGCATGCATGTTTTGATAAAGATCGGTCAATATTTAGCGGGTCAAATGGACCCTGACTTTTGTGTGAAAAATTACAAAATTTGTATTCTATGACATATATATTTACTCCTGGAGGATGTAGACCCCAGGAGTTGGTAGCATATCCAAGAGAAGTGGTTGGCGTTTAAATTGATACCAAATATAGTGATGTATCTACTTAGATGTGGGAGTTACAGTCAAATATTTACAGGTGCTTACGTATTCAGATATTATTTAGTAACCCATTACCGCATTAGAGGGAGAAATATCGCGCTGATGGCTTTGAAATTGTTCATGAAGTTCCAGTTATGGTCAAGAACAACGCCTACAATTTTCGGTGATGATCAGATTAAAATTTTGGGATGAAATGGACCGAAAACATAATTTTTTGTGTGTTTTCGAGTAGAGTATAATCCGAAAATCACAACACAACCCACCGTGAAGATAATCTGGACAAGTAATTAGAAGGACTGTACTGAATATTCGAAAAAAGTAAGGAAGAGGTGTTGTTAACCTCTAATCGGACAAGAGGGGGCAAATATCACGAAATATTACTCCGACTCGGAATAAACATCCTCAGAAAGTTAGAGTTCGTGGTAGTTGTGTAGGGTATCGTATGGTCGGCCCCGTCCGACTATACTGCTCCGCTCACTGGTTTTTATTTGCTCCAATAGTTATACCCTACACAACTATGTTGTCAGGGTATTATAGCTTTGTGCAGCCCCAAATGTTTGTAACGCCGCGAAATATTGGTCCTAGACCCACCTTTAAGTATACCGATCGTCATATCTCGACTAGCTGAGTCGATCTAGACATGTGTGTCCGTCCGTCCGTCCGTCTGTCCATTATAATTTGTAAACACGATACAGGCCACAGTTATGGACTAATCTTCACGAAATTTTGCATGTAGGATGGGTTCTGGCCAATGAAGACCCCTATTGTTTTTGGAAAAGATCGGTTAATATTTAGGGGATGAAATGGACCAAATACTAAATTTTTGTCGGTTTTTCTGGTCGCTCCAGAGGTCGCAATTATGGCCCAAACACCGCGAAATTTTGCATGGAGAAGGGGATCGGGCCAGAGAATAAGCATGCATGTTTTGATAAAGATCGGTCAATATTTAGCGGGTCAAATGGACCCTGACTTTTGTGTGAAAAATGGCAAAATTTGTATTCTATGGCATATA